CAAAAAAATGGAATGACTTCCAAACCAAAACTCAGTAACATGGACAGGGCAGACCATCATTCACAACACAAACAGATGAACACTATCTATCAAACTTGGCTCAACATAATCGTTGGGTTTCTGTCTTGAAACTGAATCAGATTTTTCTTGTCATAACAGTTAATACATATTTAGAAACAGACATATAAGGCCATATTCTATTTCATATGCCCAATGAAGTATATTTTGCTCATAAGAAGGGGGTAAAAAATGCATATAATGGTGCGAAAAACATTTCCAGTGGACCAACATTTTTTTTCAATGGACAAACCATGCTTCACTCTGCAACCAGATAACTGCCAAATACTCATTTGAAAAGAAACTGGAACCAAACAAAGTAATTATTTTCACGTAGGCTTATTACATGTATGGCAATAGAATATGGGCAGATGTTAAAATGTCAGACAGGTGTGGGAACCTCTACATCCTGTGCAATGGAATTGATAATATCACACATTATAGGAGCATCATCCAACAGCATTTTGTGCTGCTACATACTAAAACAACCAACTGAATGAAGCACCAGGCACTTTCATCAGACTTTAATCCTATCTGAAAGTATTGTTTTTAACCAATGATTTGTATCTCATCAAATTACTCCAGCTCTTTCAGATAGTCAAGGATACCTTAGGATCTTATCAATCTCTAATTTAAAGTATGAAGTTCCTCATAGTGTTTGTGAACTGTAGAGATATAAGGTCACCTCTACCAAACTTTTATTTATGAATGTAGGATAAATTACTACACATTTACATATTGTATCACATGATGGATCATGACATATAAAAATAAGGAAGTGATTGATATCTTATAAGTGGTTCAGCCATATTATAAATGCCAATCATCTTTTAGTTGTTTTGTAACATGCACGACTATTTAATTGTGAGGCTTTATTTTTGAGCTAACTAACATTTGTAAGTCATTCATTATCAGAAAACTAAAAATACTGTACTATGAGAGAGTGATAATGGTTATTACAATTCACATGCCCATAAACAACATAAAGATATTTATTGGGTATCCCATGTTTAAATCACTTACGATTTTATAGTCTATGATTTCTATTTGTTCAGAAGTCAATGCAATGGACAATGCAAGGGCTTTGACATTTTTCTGTAATATACGTACATATGCGTAACACACAGAAATATGCATTTTAATAAACTCTTTCAGCACGGGCTTGGTCCCTAGGACCGACCTCGTAACCATTTTGTGCTTATTATATTTTTTATACTATAACTTTTAAATTAATACGCATATGTTAATGAAATTTGGAAGATTATCAGTAAACATTACTATGATTTCATACGAAAAATAATTTTTTTAATAAGTCTTAAGGTTTGTAAAACAATGTTTTCTCATGCCTTTTTTTTTTTCACATGTTGCCTATCCAACATGCAAAGTAATTTTAATTTTAAGATTAAAAATACTTTTGTGCATCAGAATATTTTTAAATTTCACATGCAAAATCTTTATAATGTGCAGAGAGTTATTAAATATTTCTTAAGAAAAAACTTTATATTTTATTTGTTCTTTTCAGTTATGAATCTCTGTATGGATTTGGTTGACTTGACTGATCTCAAAACCATGTTAACAAAAATAGGAAATAAATATAAATTATGCCTTTTTTGTTCTAAAATGACTACAAATTATAATATGAAAACATAAATGTTTAGACTAAATAGCTT